CCTTATGTGATCAATGTGATATATGTGCACGTGGATTGAACAGATATTTTTTTGATATTAGTAAAGGAAAGATGAAGTTTTCATATAAAGTAAGATATTTATTGTTTTAGAAAAACTGCAATTTATGAGTTCTATTTTTATATAAATTATGTTCTTTATTACTTAAAATTATTACGTACATACAATATTTTTAACTTATAATGTTTTGATATTTGTTGATTATGTTCCCTTTTCTTTGCTATTAATAAGATTTTTAGTTGTATATTTAGTTATAATAGCTTTTATTAATCTACTTACTGATAATTATAAAGAGAGATAAATAATATAATATATGGTAATTTTTAAACATGTTATACAAAACATTAAATTAAACATATTATAAAAGCATGTTAATGTGTATATGTATACATGAAGTATATATTTATAAATTGCAGTGAAATGCTTTCCATTTTTTTGTTACAGTTCAGTAATTTACTTGGCACAGTTTATCGTAAAGGAGATTTACTCTTTACTCCAGATGGATCGTCAGTTATTAGCCCCGTGGGCAACCGAATCACAATTTTTGATTTAAAAAAGTATGTAATTATAAAAATATTAATTTTACTGTAAATCATGCAACTTTAAAAAAACTTATAAATTTTATATAATAATAATTATTACAAAATATTGTATAAAATGATTTTTTTTAGTAATAAATCTATGACACTTCCTGTTGAGAGTAGATTTAATTATACTACAATTGATGTATCACCAAATGGAAATATATTAGTAGCGATTAACACAGGTAAGAAGACTTCTTTTTGTACACATTACTAAAAATTATTTAATATTATTTATGAAGGAGTATTTATAGGAAAAATCACAGCTTTACAATATACTTACAGATGGCGAAGCTCATATTATTAGTTTAATAAGCAAAGTAATTTTACATAAATACAGATTTAAAGGACATCCTAAGCGTGTAAAGTTTTCTCCAGATGGAAAACATTTTGCAGTTTGTAAAGGAGGCGGTGGTAAATATTTGCTATTCTAAACTTACAAAAATGTGTTAACGAAAATATAACATATATGTAAAATAATATATATTGCTTTTTAGTATTCATTTTCAATGCACCTGGTTTACAAACGGGGGATTACAATCCATTTATTATGGAACATGCGTTTCATGGAGCTACTGCTGAGACAACGTGCGTTAGTTGGTCTTTTGACTCGAAATTATTAGCGGTTGGTTCAAAGGATACTACTGTAAAGATATATAGTTTACAAAAATGGGCAAACGTTAGATGGATTACATTGGGTGGTCATTCTGATGTAATTGTAGCATGTTTCTTTGAAGCAAAACAATATGATATGTACACTATTAGCAAGTAGGTGATATAATTTAACATATTTACATTGTATTAATTTAAATTTATTGTATAATTATTTTTGCTAACAAGAAATTTTGCACACACAATAATATACAACTTGAATTCGCTTATTTATTTTCGAAAGATTTCTTTTACAGAAATGGTCGAGTGTGTGTCTGGGAATGTACACTTGAACCAGACGATTTGGTTGAATGGGAACCGCCTTCAAAAAAAGAAAAACCTAAAGATAGTGATAGCGAGGATGACATAGATATAGACAAAATTATAGAGAAAACTGAAAAGCAAAAGGCCTATGCCGAAAAGAAATTATTAGACTCGGGTGAGAAAATTTCTCTATTCTTTCTTTATAATTTCTTTATTAAATTTCATTCTATGAAATTCCTGAATTTAATATTGTTTGTAAATAATTGTAAAACTGACTAGAATATAGTTGATTAAAAATAATAGTTTTTACTATATTGTATATATAATAGCGTATATCACAGCATGTATAATAATAATTTATAAAAATATGTGCACATTTTACTAGATGATTTGCCACAAAATGATATAGAAGAGGTTTCGAAAGAGAAAGACAAAAAAATCAAAATGTTGGGCTATAAAAAGCAAGCTACTTTCTATTTGGCAGACGAAGTTCATAAGCAAAGTAAAGATGCAAAACTTACTACAGCTGCTTATCATCAAGATACTCATATATTAGTTATTGGATTTAGTAATGGTTCATTTTTCTTACATGAAATGCCGCACGCTAATTTGATCCATTCATTAAGGTACAATAATATTTAATTATAACATAATATGATTTAATATTTTTTAACTTTTAATATTATATTAATTATATGTGATATTAGAAATTAACTAAATTATCGTTAACTAAATTATATATGACTTTACAGTATTTCTCGACAGCGTATTTCATCGATTGCATTGAATTCTACTGGAGATTGGATAGCTATAGGATGCTCTCATGCTGGGCAGCTCCTAGTTTGGGAATGGCAAAGTGAAACATATGCCATGAAACAGCAAGGGCATAGAACTAATATGAACTGTCTGGCATATAGTCCTGATGGTCAGTATATTATAACAGGTGGCGATGATGGAAAAGTTAAACTATGGAATACATTAACTGGATTTTGTACGCTTACGTTTCACGAGCATACTTCATCGATATCCAGTGTCCTCTTTAGTCACAATCGTAAATTTGTTGCATCCGCTTCGTTGGATGGAACGGTGCGAGCGTACGATTTAGCGAGATACAGAAATTTTCGTACTCTCACCTCGCCACGTCCTGTACAATTTTCTTGTTTGGCGATTGATGCGAGTGATGAGTTTATCGCTGCAGGTGGTCAAGATTTCTTTGATGTGTATCTATGGAGTATGAAACTCGGGACTCTTTTAGAGGTATGTATAACTTTAGATGTATTCATCTAACATTGATTTGTATTGTTCCAATTTTTATAATTATGTAGTTTAAATTATATATGTAGTTTAAATAGACATATACCTATAAGTATGCAACCAAAATAATATGCTTAAAATATTCGATTTCAGATACTGAGTGGTCATGAGGGACCTATTGCAAGCTTGGCATTTAATCCCAATCCCGCCAGTACAGAATTAGTATCTGCATCCTGGGATAAAACATTGAAAATATGGAATGCTATTGAAAATGGCTCTGCACACGAGACTGTACGATTAACCGCTGATGCTCTGTGCGTAACTTACAAACCAAATGGAGAAGAAGTTGCTGTTGCTACGTTGGATGGACAGATTATATTTTTTGAATGTAAAACGGCAAGACAGACAGGTTTTATTGAGGGTAGAACCGATTTAGGTGCTGGTAGATCTAAAACAGACCTCATCACGGCGAAAAAGAATTTACAGTCCAAGTGAGTAGTGCGAGAAACGCTATCTAGTAAATCTTGTTTGTCTTAACGATGCATTATTAAATCTTATTTTTTAGAGCTTTTACTACATTATGTTATTCGGCTGATGGCACATGCATACTAGCTGGTGGACGTTCCAAAAATGTATGCATTTATAATGTTAAAGAATCGATATTGTTAAAAAAGTATGAAATCACTCAGAATAGATCTCTGAATGGTGTGGATGTAAGTAATAATACATATCGTGTAAAATGTTTTAATTTTTTTCTTTTATTATATGTTAAATATAAATACAAAAGCAATTGCAAAACAAAGATCTATTCTTAATTCCTATTTTGGCAGGATGTTATAAATAGGAAGTACATGTCTGAATTTGGGAACAAAGCTTTAATTGAGCATCGCGAAGGTGGAAACATATCGTTACGTTTACCAGGTGTTAGAAGTGGAGATATGGCAAGCAGGAGAGTCAAACTGGAAGTGAGAGTACTTTGTTTACAATTCTCTCCCACAGGTAGAAATGATTTTTTAAAATTATTTTGTTTGAAATAAGTATATTTAAATATGTTGTCAAATAGGACAAGCATGGGCAGCAGCAACAACGGAAGGATTGTTAATATATTCTTTGGATATTGGATTAATGTTTGATCCATTTCAATTGGAGCTTGGAATTACTCCGGATACTGTGAGAGAAACACTTGACAAACACGATTACGCAAAAGGTGTAGGCATTTTTATATCATAATAATAATAATAAGATTAACAAATAAATGCAACTGTTACTATTTCAGCATTAATGATGGCATTGAAGTTAAATGAGAAGTTATTAACGCAGCAAGTTATAGAGACCATTCCATACAAAGAAAGTGAGTTTATGTATACATATCTTTAATTAATTTCCTAATAATTTTAATAATGACTTGATATATAATAAATACTTATTTGATTTCTGGCTGTTTTAGTTGAGTTAACGACGATGAATATGTCAGATGTTTATATCGAGAAATTGCTAAAGTTTATAGCATCCGAATTCGAATCAACGAGGCATATACATTTCTATCTTTTATGGGTAGAAATAATCTTGACGAAATATGGGTCTCGGATTAATACTGCACTTCAGATGCCAGTACTGTTAATGCTGCAAAAGAATATGCAAAAGAAGTATGATGATCTTAGTAAAATGTAAGTGTTATTACATTTTCTTCACTGTATATATGTTATAAACATGGAAATAATTCGGAACGTTTTTACAGATCTGATTTTAATCAATATACGATAAGCTATATATTGAGGATAGGAGATTTAAAATCTAAGAAAAAAAGAAATACATCGAAGCTTTCTATGATTAAGATAGATGATGAATCTGATTTTTCCATAGAAGAAATTGATACGGATTAAGCTTTATTTAAATCTTTGTAGGACGATGATTTTTTAATAATAATAATAATAATAATAGTTTTAATACAGGCTGTATTCCAAAATTTACTGCTAGTACTGAAAATCTCTAGTGCACGTAAACTACAAATTTTCAGTACTAGCAATAAATTTTGAAACATAACCATAGTGTAAATACGAAAGTATTTTATAAAAATAAACGAATGTAAAAAAAATTTATTTCTCTATCATATAAATAAAGATACATTTCAAACTTATAGTCGACGCAACGACAACGACGACTCATTCACAAATTTTAAATGAAAAAATTTTATATGAAAAGTTAATTATATACGAAATAATACTAATTCCACAAAATTCATGTTATTTTATTACGCTTTTGAGCAATACTATTGGCCAGTATAGAACGATGAAAAATAAGAAGAGTATAGGAAACATAATTCTGCTGTAGAAATCTATTTTTTGAGAACGTGTTTTACTCGTTTGCACTATCTGGCATTCGGGATCCAGCCATAGAGTTGGCAGTAGATGATCATTGGTATGCTTCTTCGGTTTGGTTGCATAAACGAATTCTTCATCCCAAATGCTTTGTCTCTTCACCGTCGCCATTAATCGCTAAAAATGAATAATCGTATTTAACGGATAAAATACAATTTAACAGTCTTTTAAAATTATCAATAAAATTATTACGAGCAATATTTAGACACGAACCGAGAACGAGCGAGAATCCGTGAAACTTTGCGAATCATTTTTAATATGTCGCAAATCGAGCACTTTGACTACGACAAATTCTCCTAAGGCTGCGAACACGAACATCATACAGCCAGCCATCCACACGTCTAAAGCCTGCGTAAGCAAACGTGTATATTTTTATATTAGGAAAAATAAATTATGTCAATATGAGACAATATTTTATTATACATAGTATTATAACAAGTATATAAGGAGATATGCAGAAAGTGGAGTACTTACATTTGCAAACTTACCTTGATATACGCCACTGGCGGAATATCGCTTTTAAGACCGGTAAACATCGTTACCAATGTAAGCATACTCGTCACCAGAAGAGCCACTCGACCAGGAATTGCATCCAAGTCCAACCAGAAGCTGAACCAGGAAAGCATCACGACCAGAGTTGATGGTGCGAACGTTTGTATCAAGTGGTGGCCGATCTGCCTCTCGAAGCGAAGGAAGACTACCAATCGGGAGAAATTTCCTGCGAAGTAATTATCAAATTATTAATTAGGATTTTTTTTATTCCATATGTGATCTTTCATTCTATAATTAGACTTTGTTATATGTTTTTTTGGATTTTAATGGATTTGATTTAATATAAAATATAACGCATATAATTGTAATCATTGTTTCAATGATTATAAACATCGGACAAAGGGATTTAAATAAACTCTTGATTAAATTTCAAATTAAATGTGTATAAATATATTAAATTTTAACATACCATTTTTCTCGAGCATATAATCTATAGTTTCTTCGGATACTGTGGGCTTCCCAATATCATATTGCAAAAGCTTCAATTCAGGATTTATCATAACACCACCCGCGCCCCACTTTAAACGTAACTTTTTTCTATTGTAGGAAACTGTAACAAATAATTCGGATTTATGTGTGTAACAAGTAGATAAATTTATCGAAATTTATTCAAGAATATATAATGCTTCTTTTCTCTTTTCTGCTATTATATGTTTTAAAAATAATTTTATAAAAGAGAAAGAGAAAGTATATGTTTATACATTATAAATTATTTTTCGAAATCACATTTGCATTTGTATATTTTAAGTTTTAAGGCCTTCATACATGCAAAAACTTAAAATATAAGACTTAAGCAATATGAAAATCAATATGTTGGATTCGTTACTGCTAACGTATGGTCATAGAACTCTATTGTAATCAATCGATTCGCTTATTGTTGTTATATGTTTACATCTTATGTTTTTTTATATGCTATAGCCTTGAGCTTTAGCTTACTTACAGCTTTCTATGTAAATTGGGCAGATTTGAATATCCATTGGGTACGATTGAAATTCCATTTGACAGGCAACAATAGCGTTAATTCGGGCAGAATATTTAATAGTTTTATTTCGGTATAACGTGACCAATGAGAATTTGTGATTTAAAGTCGCAATCTCTGAAAAATTATTAACAATAGCCAGTATTTAGTCGGATCTTATATTTAAGTACAGTCTTAAGAAGTTACGAACCAAGGGAAATCGTATTAGTGTCTCATTAAGACATTACTTAAATACAGATAAAGATAAATACAGATAAAAAAAAATTTACTTATAAAGACATTACTTGAAATAAGAACGGACTATGATTACCGCTCAATTTAACACAAAGATGGCTTACCGGAAACTTTTGAATTTAAAAAATATGGATCCGGTTGCCAAAGATTATCGAAAAATTCCTGGGGAAGTATGACATAATCGTCATCTTCCTCGAAAATATCTTCAGACATATTCAGTCGAGATTCTATCCAACTTTGACTGACGAACATGTCTACACTGATAAAGATACACAATTGTAATTTTATAATTTTTTTACATCCAGATTTTGAACATCTATTTTATCTTTTTATAACTTAAATTAAATATATTAATTAATTTAAATTAAACGTATTTCATATCTTTTTATATATATTCTCTTACTTTTCAGAAGTGATACAACTCCAAAGATTAAGTTTTTAAATGTAATAAAACACATATTATATGTAATTAAATTATTAAGTATATGGAATTATACGTTATATTTAATTCATTCTTGATTATAATTCAAAAGAAGGTTATCGCTTTAATTTACCGAAAGTCCATGTCTTCAACGTTGATAGAATTAATGTCAACAACTAAAATGTTGAAGTTTACCACTACAGGTGCACCTGACGGCGGTCTAATTTCTGCAAAGAGTTTTATTACAAATCATATATATATATATATATAGAGCTCATTATTCGTTCAAGAAACGTGTAAGCATCTTGTTATGGTAAGTCGCACATTACCTTTAACATAATGTTCTGGCAGAATTAGCCTCGACGTCATAGAGCAATTGTTGACATCGCTGAGCAAGCTGCGAGAAAAATTCCATCTTTCATCATCATTAAAGTTCTTTTTTATTTTATCTGTTCATTGTTAATGCAGTTTGTTTAACGCTTGTTGTTTTATTTGTATTGTATTATATCTTTGGTTACTGACTCATCGGAAATTCTCATTATATTAAACGAGGGAGAATACTTTAATTTCATAAGATTTAACATACACCATCTAAAACTATTATTTATTTTTTCGGTTAGACAACTTATTTTTTCGGTTAGATAACTTATTTGATCTCATGAGAGAAAAGTTGTTAGCGAGTTGATGATATCTCTATGATATCTACGGAGAAGCAAAAGAAGGCATATTTAAAAAGTTTCTTCTTTTCACGAGAAGTATGCAAAAAATTGTAAATATTAAACACACATCATTAAATTAAAAAGTAAGAATAAACAAATAAAATTAACATTAACATAAATGTACGTACATCAGGATTAATCGTAACGATTTTTCATAGACCGCGTTAACTTGAAATTTTTCTAGCTGGCAGAGGAAACAGCGGCTCGTTTCAGTCTACAACTTTTTACTTGTTTCTAGAAATATATATATGTTAAGAAAGACAAAGTTTAGATTTTAGAATTGGAGCGATAAAATGTCTTTTAAACGTCTTTTAGACGGTTCTCGTAAAAATGTCTTTGTAACGTCTCTGTATGTCCCAATTTTGGACTCGTCTGGGAAAGAAACGGATCGAGATTATTGTCTTCCACGACTCGGATGAAAAATTGCTGCATGCAATTTTTCTTCGCCTATCTTCGCCTATGAAGCGATAAAAGACTCCGCGACAAAACAAAACGCTGTGCGTAATGAGGCGAAAATGGCTTTTAAAGGAGCACGAAGTCGTTTACCTCGAGGAACATACTTCCGGGAGAGAATTCCACCATAGGTGAAGTAAAACTATTGGAAGTGCACGCTTCATCTCAGCCGAACGTATCGTCAACTGATAACGAAGTCTTCGGTATCCCTTGCACTGTCCAGGGCGGCACAGCAATTAGTCAATTATCAATCATTTAATGTCGCAATCTAGTCCAATTACAGGTATCGTCATCCGCTTTTGTGCTTGTTGCAATTATCCGTCGTGAATTGCGTAACGATTTACTGTTCCGCGTAGATGCATTATTTGCGTTACGCGATCGAAGTTATACATATATTCGCGCATGAGAGGAATTTTCATTGTGTAACATACTATTTTTTAACATCGGTTTGTTAATGAAATGTATCAACAATCTATATTTTTTAATGTTTACAAATTTAAATGTGCTGTTCACGCATTGCTGTCCTTCGTTCACGCATTTATTGCACGTTTTTATCCCGAAGATTTAATCATCATTCGGCTCGCGTTGCTTAAAATCCTCAAAAATTTTTACATTTAAAATGAAGTAAATTATATATTCAGTATAAATCATATATCGAAGAGAGAAAAAAAAAAGACGCTAACTGCAAAAATTGCAAGCAACGCGAATAAACGCGTACTGTTGTGTTGCGTATTATACGAAATGTTGATTTTGCAACAATTCGTGTATTTGCACACGAAAATAGTTCTGCGGAGAAGAGATTTCGAGAGGTATTTGTGTACGTTCACGCGTGTATGTATCTTATCATTTCGACAAACGCGCGCGAGAAGACAGAGCCACTGCTGTGAGGAGAAAATCTAAAAGGAGACAGGAGGGATCAGTATAGGTGTCTGGTTCGGATTATGGATATAGCAGGTACCGATGCAGGTTTCGCAAATGAACGAGGAGGAAACGCGAGATTGCGGTTCGCCAACACGCGTGTTCTTCCCTTTCCTCCTAGCCCTGAGCAACGGTACCGTCCATTTAGACGTCACACGGGTCTAAAACCCGACCTCGATCGTCGGCCTCGATGAGATCTGTTCCTCCTTTGCTCATCTCTCTTCTTCAAGGGCGTAGCGACAGGATGGCGGAGGGAGGCGATGCTTTCAGATCCATCGAAGAGTCGAAGAGATGCGAGACTGCGTGATTTATTTTTCGATCGTGTATTACTTGTACAAAAGTGCAAGGATAAAAATATGTGATAAATAAAAAAGAAAGCCTTTCTTCTTAGATCATCTATTATCTTCTTTGAGATTATTTTATAAAAACGAAAATATCACTGTATTTTTATAATTAAAGAGAATATGTCGTTTTTTTCATATATTCGGTAAAACACTTTGAGAGAGGCCCAATATTTCGTTTCATGCGAAAAGAGAAGACAAGGAATCATATCAGAAAATGAATGCAAATACTTTTTTTACACAGTACAGTTTACTTTGTTTTTATATACGAGTCTTCCACTTTGGATCGGAATTAAATAATTCCAAAATGCTCGTCTGTAAAAACAAAGTAAACTGTACTGTGTAAAAAAAGTATTTGCATTTATTTTCTGAGATGATTCCTTATCTTCTCTTTTCGCATGAAATATTGGGCCTCTCTCAAAGTGTTTTTTTTATTGAATATATAAAAGCGTATTAGGCTAGTATGTTTTTGCTTTTTTTTTTGTATTTCTTGTCAGTTGTATTTTTTCTTTTGGTGCAAATGGCTTGTGAATGTAAATTTGAACGTGAATATAAATTTCGAAACCTCCTTTTTAGATAATTGTTTAAACAAACGATCGAAAATTAAAAAATTAGTTATCTAAAACTACAATTTCATATATATCTGTTCATGCGTTAAAAGAGAAACCATTAAACTTTGAAATAGTATTTAGATACGAAATATAGAAGACGATTAAAGTAAATCGAAAGAATTTTTAGCATCTCTTTCTAAGAGCAGAACTAAAAAGAAATGGAAAATTGGACATACTCCAGTTAACTTTAGCAGTGTGACTATTAATATCGATGTTAACATATAAGAGAAAAGAATTTTGCCAAGGATACAATCCGTACTTTGTCTCCGAACTTTTACTACCATTGGAAGAATCTACACTGCGTGGGTGGACAGTAAAGTGTAAAGTAAACGGTAAAGTGGACATTAGATGATGCGGTCAAAAAAGATGAAGCACATAGAAAGCCATACATCCATTTTCTGTTGCCTTCGTTATTCTTTTCGACAAATATCGTACATTTTGACACTGCGACTTATATAGCTTGATCTATTAAAATATGGGCGAAGAAATGAAAAAAATAAGATTTATTTCTACAGGACCTTCGTATAGATGAAAGACAAGAAGATCAGTAACTAATCAGTTAGCGTTTAGTGATTCTTTAATATGATTGGTTCTTGCCTTTAGTTCTTCACTGGATCTAAGTGTAGGAACCAATTATATTGAAGAATCACTAAGCGCTGATTAATTTTCTCTGCTGAACGTAGAAGTCTGGCCTGCCTGGTTTCTAATTATCATCTAGCCGGCTGTGATTAATTAAGTTTATTAATACAGTTCCCAATACATGGTTTCCATAGTAGCATAATTTATTGGTGCAATATTGATCCAATGCATGTCAATGTTCACCACAATGAATTATGCTACTCGCGGATTGTAAACCTTGAGACAATTTTTCATCCTCGCTTTCATCTTTCGCAATCGGTGCAAAGTGACGGCTGTCCCGTTCGAGGGAATTCCGTATACTCAGAGGTGTAAGCTCTCTCCTGTTGTAGGGTTGTATTGATTTCTATGATGGCGGCAGGCCAGCGCTTGCACCCTCCGCGATCGGAGGAATGGCCAGGGAGCGTTGCTCCGTAGTGTTTTATCATCCTCGAGGACAACGTGCGCGAAAACGCGACGACGAGAGGCAAAGTAGTGAGACGCGTGAAAGCTAATTATTATCGCTTGACGGAAACGATAGATCGCGTCGCAAGCCGGCGGCCACATTACTTTCGATTCCGCCCCTGTAGATTTGCCCAGGAACCACCAGGCGACACTGAGGATCTGTGTTCATGAGTGATGGGTGATGGTGTCTGTATTCGCGTATGGATCGTTATGGACAACGATTCCTGAGCAACGAGCTGCACTGCGAGCTTTACTAAAATCACCGGCGAGTTGGTGATCTTACTTCGTCAATAGACGGGCCCTCCTGAATGAGAGCTTTCGCGTATCTCAACGGGATACTCTCTGGTCGTCGTAATCGCGGCGGCACCGGCAGAGAGGGTCGTCGCCACAAAATAGAGGGTCACGCGTGATCGTCTTTATAATCACGTCGGAGAAATCAGCAGGAAACGATATTCTTGGGTAAGAGATAGATGATGCCAGATGGTTTTGTTGCTTGTGATTGTAGAATAAAAATTATACTCGGATTATCGGCCGTGCTAATTTCTCGTGAAATATGTTACTCCGGGTGATAATGGACCGGTTTAGATCTTCACTTTGTTGCAAAGTGCAACTTGAGTCAAAAGATGCTTTGGATGATTCGATTGATTAAAACAGATGTCAGTTATTAAAATCGAATATTGATGTTTATTGCAAAGATCGAAGATTATATCAAGAAAAGTTTTTAAATTGTTAGATATCTCATGCCAGATAATCTAAACGTAGCAAATGAAGCTCAGAGAAAGAAAGGAGAGAGAGAGAAAAGAGAGAGAGAGAGAGAGAGAGAGAGAGAGAACAATGTACCTATAATTTTTTTTTAATAGCGTATCTATTTTCTTGTCTAACGTGGATCGTAAAATGACACACAACTATTTTTTTTTGTGCAATAATTTTTGCTGAAATTGTATAAGCATGCAATCATGATTTGATTGATGAAAGATTTGAAATATTTTAATCATTTTGAAACTGATTACTTTTTTAACTGCTACATTCGATATTCATTCAAGTCAAATTGTTATCCATCAGTTTTATGCGAATACGGAGAAAGAGTTTACTTGAAGATGAAGCATGCTTTTTTTGTTACATTGTGAAAATGATTTCGAAATATTTGTTAATTTGTTCCGAGTTCAATTTGTGCCAATTAAAATGAACACGAAACTTTTCACGATTGTTTAACCGTATCTGCATAAGATACGGTCTATATCACACTTGTCACTTGTCATGTGCTTGTAAATGACTCGTTAGCTATATGGTTTACGCTCTATCGACCGACTTATATCCCCTTTCGTCGTTTGTTCATGTGTCTTACTTTTAATATCTCGGTCATCAATTCATTATAGCTGCGTACGAGCTCTAAAGATGCATGAACAATATCCCAGAACATTCGAAAATTCTCGCAGATCCCCGAGAATGTTAATTACCGTAGCGTGCATTATGTTTAGAGTCCGATCGAAAACGAATATTCGATTGTCATTCAATTTCGGCCGGAAATGAAACCGAAAATTGGATAAGTCTTATTAAAAAAAGTCTTACTGAAAAAAAGAGAGAGAAGCTAACGGAGTCACATTATTTTCGGCTGAAGTCGAAATCGACATTTTTGGATTAATTTTACAAAGTATGATTTTCAGAAATCGTGACTTTCACTCTTGCAGTCTTTAAAAAACAAGATTTTATTAAAATATCTAATAGTAATAATATTGCAGCCTCAACTTTTAAAGAAATCAAATTACAGTTATTATTAGGATTACATCGAAATTTATACTCAAATTATTTTAAGCTTAATCAACGAGTTAATAATTAAAATCGAATAGTTGCTTTTTTAATGTTCACTCAGCGCGTTGTAATTTGTACAGTTTCAGTTTCACCCATCAAAATTTTTTCTTAATTTTGGCCAAATCCGAAATCCGAAACTTTAAAGGAAAAGAAAGTCAAAATAATATCAATTTGACGTCATATTAATCGAATTTATGTCATTTTTTTCATTTTTGTCATAATTCAATCAATGTGACATTATCATGACTTTTTTGTTTCTCTTGAGAATAAGATGAGTTAAATATAGCGAATTTACTAAAATTGAAGATATACACTACATGTTTCGGCTCATTTTTTAATCATCTTTAAAGCGTATATACAGATAATAACTGAGTTACACAGTTATTCTGAAAATAATTTTCCATAACATAACGGTTATGGACTCGGTTGTTGCTTGCATCTACATTTGAAAGGTGGCTCAAAAAGCTGACACATGTATGTACTCTTCGTTTTAACGAATTGCTTATTTACTATTTCTGCACATTTATTTCCGCGCTTGACTCTTATATCCTCTTTTTATTTTGCTATTTTGAATGTAAAATGAATTACAAAGTCTCCAACCAAAAGGCTAAAAATGTAATCATTCAGTAATGATTGCAAAGCGGTCTTGTAAGCAAAATACGCACTTCTCGTCGTGATGATCGACGATTTTGAACAAAGAAATTACGAGCAGCGCTCGATTGAGGTCGCATTCGGTAATTCGCATAAACAATTTTCTTGTTTAATATGCTATTTAACGAACCGCGGGAAGAGGTGCGAAGTTTACGCGGTCCGTCATCTTACGACATTTAACGAGACGACGAGACATTCAAACGCGGTCAATCGCACACTTAGTCATATGACATGTGACAGTAGAAAGCATCACCAACATCGCGATTCAAGGCAGTTTAGTTAGCAGATGGATCAAAATGGCTCGTATCCACCCATTATGAGTTTAGGTTAACGAACTCGCCGGCATCATAGGAGTGCCGTTTTCCTCCGCAATTCTACTCCAATTTAAACCGTATTTTTTTTTTAAATTTAATCCGATGTAATTGAAATCTCATTTCCTTCTAATTTAAATAGAAGGCACCTTCACATTTAACAAAACTTCACTTTTACAAAAAGCACACGCTTTCCATTCGCGAGGAATTCTTGGCAGGCGCAATCGCTCGAGTATTACGCCATTAACACTGTAAAATCGCCTGCGAAGACATTCACCGTGTTTGAGGGATTTTACTTTCGCTTCTTCAGATACATTGGACGTATCAGTTCTGCGTAATATGGAGAAATCATCACGACGGAAAGAAACACCTAATTCGCATTAACGTATCTATACAATCAATATGGATTCAGGGGTTGATCCAAGTTCAACTTATACTTGCATCTCTTTGTCGTCTCACTGTTACAGGCGGGATAAACATTATTTTATTACAACAAGAATAACTATCAAAACAATATGTCAAAAGGCTCGATAAAATTAAATAATAATATAAAAGAGGACTACAAGCTTAATATAAAAATTTTTTAATAATGTAAATAGTTAAATCATAAACAAAAACAATGGTCTATAACAAATGTTTTGTATTCAATTGGGTCATTTTCAATGTTAACAAATTCGATTATGAACTTATTTACAATATAAAATATAAAATATATTTAAATAAAAAGATATATAAATTAAAAGGTCTGTGATATTTAAAAAAATTAATAATGTCTCTAAACCCTAAATTATTGTAATATATAAACGCTGTGTTGGTCATTCCAGTATTTGGTAAATAATAACATACAATCTTCATACGCATCCAATACTTCCAATTGAGTCATTAAATTTAGACCAAATTTGCATTGAATAATATTCTTGATTAATAAAACAGCAGAAAAGGTCATTTTAATAAAAATATATATTGGAGCAAATTTGCAATTAAAAATGAAAGTGTGTGTTTCTTAACGAGAGACAGTACGATATAGACAATCTCGAGGAAACAAAGAATAACTATAATAAAATCATAATAATTAATAACCTGATATCGTTCTCCTATAATAATCAATTCTGGAGACAATAACGATCAAATATGCAATAAGTATTGAACATCTCGAAACCGCTTCTAATTTTGTTTTAAGCTTCAAACAATAATTAAAATTATTAATAATAAATTGAAATTTTCCGTGTGCTTTACACGATTATCTGCACAAACTATACGTTATAGAGAGGCAAGAAATTTTTGCGTTCCGAACGTCGTCAGTCATTCTCATCAAGGAAAGTTGTAGCCTATACAAGAGGAGTCAGTCGCATCTCAGGTTTACACACCAGGCCTAGACATTGACCTCGAAAGCGAGGTGATCATAGCCGGCGTAGAGACGTATCGAAGAAAGTACGCCAATCAGCCTCCGGTTTGCGTCTTACGTGTATCACTACGATCGAACGTTATAGTCGATTTCCTTCCTCAGGGGATTCTCTTTTGCGAATCGATTTAATCAATCGGCGATCAGTCGCTCTGGCATTACATTCAGAAAAATATATAGGTACTTGAATTACCCCAATAGACAAATTGATATGCAATAATGGTATCATAAATGGTATTGACGAAAATTTCGCAATAATTTAATAATAAGAACACGGAAAGAATTTTCTCTTAAAATTTAAAATTAAAAATATGGCAGTGTGGTGTACAATATTTTAAAGACTTTACCATGCACTTCAATAAAATTAATCAAACTTATTTTATATTTTATTGTAGCTTTATTAGTGAATGAATGAGAGAGAGAGAGATTTAAAAAATTCTTTGAAATATGATGTTGTTATATTTCTCATATTGTCCCATGATTACCATATTTTAAGAGAAAATTCTTTCCTTGATAATTCATCAGAAAGTTATTGTTTTGCCAATATATACTATTTTAAAATTAATTGCACAGTTATTAGTATTTTATGAAAATTCAATATTTCCTGTTTTTGCAAATATTTCCATACAATGAAATATTTCCATACGGATAAATTTTATGCAAGATTTCGTATACAATTGTATAAATATTTTCTTATCGGGGGCTCATTGCATGCTCATTCAAGTATGGAACAACAAGTCACGATAACATTAAAATGACATTAAAATAAATGGAAAATGATTGAAAAATGACATTTCAATGATCATTCTGATATAACTTGTTCTACTTGGGAAGTGACTTTTAAATTTTTATGAATATAACGAGAGAAGGGATAATAAATAAGTGGAGGAGGGACAAAACTACGACAGTTCAAAGCATGACTTGGAATACATAGCATGACAGAACATAAAAAAAGAGGTAATATCATTTACTAAATTTTCATTAGTTTATCGTTATTTAAACATTGCATTTGAGATTTTTTATTAATTTCTGTTTCTTTTTCCTAATTCGCTGCTGTTTTCCAAACGCGTTCGAGAGAATTTAAATATAATAAAAAATAAGAAAAAGATCTCTTGACTTTAGAAATTGAGCATTATAGTCATTACAAGATTGTTTTCCTTTTTCGGCATTTAGCAGAAGTGTAAAAGAAAACAGATGATCGCATAATTTCAATAAAAGTAAATTGCTTTCACTCTCGAAGATAATAATTGTGTATCCTTTAAATTCTTTGCTTGATTATTATATTG